AATTGTAACAATCTAAATAAAAAAAAAGCAAATAAAATTAAATATATTATTTAAATAAAATCAATACTCACTGCCGCCACCACCGCCACCACCGCCACGACCATCTATACAATAAAGAAAATCAAAATTTTCATATTCATCTAAATTTCTCTTACCACGATCACCTGAACTGAATCCTCCTCCACCACCACCTCGACCCCCTTTACAACATAATTTGTATATGTATATTAAATAAAGAATTGTTTTTTTTTTGTTTACCTCGAAATCCACTACCACCATTATTAAAGCCACCACGCATTGTTGAATTAACAAATGTTGTACTTCTACTATTAGATTCTTCAGAATCATTACTATTAGCCGTTTTATTTCCTCCACCACCTCGCCAACCACTAAAACTTGTTTTTGTATCATTATTATCATTTTCATATTGATTTCTCGAATTACGGAATGTTACAGACATCGATGAACTTCCATCGTTTGCCGATGATGTGAAAGCAATGTTACGATCGTTACCATTTGAATTAAATCCACCACGAATGTTGCCACCTGAGTTAAATCCACCACGATCACTGCTACCACCAGAGTTAAACCCACCACGATTGTTGCCAAAATTGAAACCACCACGGTTTCCACCACCGCTGCCGCCACGATTTTCTTTTCGTGGTTCAGAACATTCTCGACTCAAATGACCAGCCTTATTACAATTATAGCATGCTTGAAAATAAAACCAAAAAAGCGATTTCAATTAATACTTCATAATTGTTTAAATATCTAAACTATACGCTTACTTCGAGAATTACCATCATTATTCGATCCAAATGTTCCACCACGTCCGCCTTGAATTAAAAAAAGAAAATTTTTATTTTACAAATGTAAAAATTTCATTTGATAGTAATTACCACTAAAACCACCACTACTTCGTGAACCAAAACCTCCACTACTATTTGGATTATTATTTTCATCATTATTATAATTATTACGAAAACTACTTGAACTTTCTCTTGTATTACTATTCCATTTTGAAACTGATGGTGGTTCTAAAAAAATCCTATCATCCATAAAAAAAAAAGTAAATAAATGTTTAATTTTTACCATCATTATTTGTTTCCGGTCGTGCTTTTCCACGTCCAATACCTAAACGTGCCGTTCCTGTTGATGTCGTTTGCTACATACATAATAAATTCCAACAATTTTTATTATCCCTTTCATATAAAAACTAACTTGTTCAGATGTTTTAGATGCTTGTGCATCGTCCCATGATTCTTCTGTCATGATCCAGAGATGCTTTGATTTTATGAGTAAATTCACAAAAAAAAAACCAACCAACCCACTGCTATCTAGAATCAATCAAAATGATATTAAAACAAAAATCATATGTATTGATTTGTGTTTTCTTTTCTTTATTATTCTTCTTCTTATTTTTTGAATGTTCTTTTTAAAAAAAAACATACAAACAACGAAAGGACAACATAACGGAAAAAGAAAAAAAACAATGCTTCTTGTCGTTGTTGTTGTTTTTTTTTTGACTTGAATTTTTTTTAAAATTCTAGTTGTTTATTTCTTTTTTCCAGCTGGTGCTGCTGCTTTAGCAAAAATATTAAATTTATTTGCAATACGTTGAGATTTAGCAACAAATTTTCGTCGTTTAACTTTTTTTGTTTTAGATGATAATTGTACTTTATTCTTCTTTTTCAAACGATTATATTCATGATTTAATATACGACTATATGCTTGTTTAGCATGTAATAATTTAAAACGATCTAAATCTGTCATTTTTGAACGTAAATGTTTTGCTTGCATTTTTTTAAACCAACGTGTTTCTTGCCATTTTTTATTAATATCATCTTTATCCCAAAGTGTTTTAACTGTTTTTGAACGAGCTCCAGGTAAAAGTTTGAGTACATATTTTGTTAAATGTAATGATTTAATATTTAATGCTTGACGACGTACATGTGATGATGGACCATCGACAAGTACACGTGTCTGATCAATAACATTTGTAATACAACAAATTTTACCCTTATTTGGACCATAAGCAACGTAAGCTACACGGCCAACTTGAACTAAACGATCGTAGGGCATGATGAATTAGATGTCTTCTTGATATTCTTTTTTTTTCTTTTTTAGTCTAAAATGGATTAAGAAAAAAAATTCCGATTAGTATATTTATTCAAAAAGAATCATTAAAAACGAAGACGTTAAAAAGAATACCCAGTTTGTATTTTTTTTCTCTTTGCATAGCTCAAATTGGTAAATAAACAATTATTTCATTGGATACGATGGGGAAGGTTTGTTTCTAATGTTACTATATGAATACGCAAGAAAATTAAATTGAAATTAAAAATAAGTGAAGATTTTTATTTCAAGAATATATTTTAATACTACATGAATATTATACAAATGCATTACTGAATTACTATGACACACCAACAATTGATTAACATCAATGGTGGAAAGAACGAATCAGATTTACTTCATAGTTATTAATATTTTTAATATCAAATACAACAAGCAATCGCAGAGTACTCAAGATACTAACGATCTTGAAAAAAATACTTTATCTTTTCTTTGCTGGGAAAATATAGAGATAAACTGTGTATTGGTACTTTGTTTGTGCTTGAAGAAGTTAATATTAACAGTACTTTTTTTTTTAATGAGAATCAAAAATAAGATGCTTTTTGCGCACTGTGCTGATATTGACACAGTGTACGTGTGCAGCACTTTCTTTTTTGAAGCAGACTATGGGAAAGTGTAAAATGAAGAATTTGTAAAAATTATATATTAAAGAAAAATTCATCTGCTTTTTTTTCATTTAATAAAAAGTACCTATTAATAATAAAAAAGAAGCCAGAAGCATAAAAAAACACATTTTTTTTCTGATGTAATCAAAGAGAGATTAGGAGATAGAAAAAAAAACAACATCAGAATAAGTGAAATGAGTATTGTTTTTTGGTAAAAAAAAATGTATACGATCATCTGGAAAACAAAAGATTATTTTATTCAGGTAAGTGTGTTATGGACACTCTGCTCAGTAGCGAATGTAAGATTTCAATAGGTGCGACGTTCCAATGAAAAACTATTGATCTCTGTCAAAGATATGTATTGAATTTTCATTATAGGCAGTATCAGTTCGTTTTTTTGAGGTTTTGCTGTTGGGAAAAGCCAGAAAATGTTTTTTGGTAGAGAAGGCAATGCTCTCAATTTTTCTCTGTAAATCCAGCACTAATTCTACCTTTTTGAGCAAAATGTAAAACGCTATGTATATTCAAAGCAATAGATGTTCTATAATTTTTGCTTCTATTTGGCACATTTGTCATTAGAAATACTGCTAGGAAAACATAGCAAAAGTAGAAATAAACCATGCATTGCTACTTTGCTTCAAATTCGCGTCAAAAATTTCAGGAAGTTTCACACCTAGTTTTTTTTTCGCCAATGTCTGGCACCTTTTGTGTAAATGAACAAATGAACGATCAAGATTTTAACTATTTATTGGCTACTGTCAAAAAAAAGTTAATGTACAGTTAAATAGTTTTAGTTGTATGTATGTAAACGAGATCAAGCAAATAGGAAGCTGCGGATTCGGATCCGATTCTACATTTTTAATTTTTTTTCCGATCCAGGTCCATGTTTTCTTGGACTCGGATCCGGCCGATCAAAATTGTTGGAGTCGGACCTAATTAATTGGTATTTTGTGAATAGAATCCATGGGTAATGTCTTGCAGGAATGATTTTTTTTCCTGTATTTTTTCGTTCCGTTTTCTGCTGAAGTTGGGAACGGGAATTTCTGTGAAGACTTCACGAATGGGAACGATATTAAAAATGAGCATTCCCAAAAAATTGTTTGTTTTTGTTATTTTCGTTTATGTATATACTCTTCGAATTTTACTCTTTCAAAAAAATGTCAAAGTCAATATGACGTTATATTGTTGAGAAATAAATTTTGATATTCTTCCAAAGACTTTTGCATCACTTATTAATTAAAAAAGAAATAAAAAATACCGATCAACAGAAATTAGATAAGCTTATTCATTAGAATGTAATTCAATTATAATAATCATTATTTGTTTTTGGTGACTATCATCTTGGAAAAAGAGTATTTTTCAGATTATCTCGCAATATAGCATTGTTATTACCGTCTCCTCTTTTGAATATTTTCGTTTTTTTATCAATATTATTGACTCTTAGCTTAATGTTGATTGATTTTGACGTATAAATAATAATTGATTTATTTTATTAAAATGCATCTCCAATAATAATTTTATTTTTAATTGAACCCCATCCCATTTAGTGCAAAGTGCGATACTCAAAGAAGCTAGTGTCGCGTAATGATAGTTTCTCTCAAACACAAAAAATTAAATAGTAACACGAACTCTGAAAGCATTACGCGAACGGAAAAGAGAAACCAAAAACTTATTCCCGCTGGACATTATCATCGGTGTCCAACAATTTCTGGATCCGATAGACTCTAATCCGGACCCGCAGGTTCCTAAGAAATGTTGCTATAAAATACAATTCAATGGATAAATTAGTTCTTAGATTCGTCCAATAAACTCTCAAGAACTCAGCATAGGAACACTCGGTCGTCTTAGATCTATATGGACCGTATGTATTTTTTCAAGTGGGGCAATTTTGTGCCTCTATAGATGTCGCTCATAATCGGTGCGCTGAACTCTTTATCATTTTTTTTTCAATAAATCCGTCCTCGTAAACGAAAAAGAAAAACTAATTTTTATTATTTTAAAAGGAAAATCATACTAATCTTCTTCAAATTTTTCTTCTTTAAATATCTCAAAATTCATTGAACTAATTCAAGGTGCATTGTTGTATATATTTACTATTATTTTTGCGGTTGATGAGTCATCTTTCATCTTTCTTCCTCGTGTGTCAACTAAGACATTGACCGACTAAGTTTTGTTCATTCAAAAAAACAAAATAAGAAAAAGAAAATTTCATCATTTGTTGTTTTGCTTGTCTAGATCATGTGATATAAAAAACTTTCAATGGTAGCCAAAGGCACACGAGATCGACGATCATCACTGGCCAAGGTCACAACTACACCAACAACTACTCGACGAACACAAGTATCATCAACTAGTCAAGATAAAAAAGTATAATTAAATTTAATTTTGTTTTAAATATTTCAATGAAATCATTATAGAAAACTGCTAAACCAATTGGTATTTGTGGATTTTGTTTGGGTGATAATGAAAAAAATGCAAATGGTGTTCCAGAAGAAATGATACATTGTGCTGAATGTGGAAACTCAGGTACAATTTAACCGATTTTTTTCTTTTTTGTTTCATAATTTAAAACAAAACTTTATCATTTTAGGACATCCATCATGTTTACAATATTCTGAAAAATTAGTAAAAAAAATTCGAACAATTCATTGGCAATGTATCGATTGTAAACGATGTATTATTTGTAATAAAAGCGATGATTCAGTATGAAATCAAAATTTTTCTATTGTTTTTCTTTTTTAAAGTCATTTTTTTTTGTTCTATTGTTTTAAGCTATTATTCTGTGATTTTTGTGATTCTGGTATACATCCACAATGTTGCAATCCACCATTAAATAACATTCCTAAAGGTGATTTTGCTTGTCATGCTTGTCATGATGAAATAATGTCATCACCAAATAAAAATCTTTCATCATCATCAACACGTTCTCGCCGTAGTAATATATCAAATGATGAAAATACATCAAAAATTATATCTTATCCTGTTGCTCAAGTTATTGATAATATGTCAAATTTTTTCATACCAAATAAATCCAATCATAATGATATTCGACAACAATCTGTACAAAAAGCAATGAAATATTTACGTGAAAATAAAACATTAAAATCTTCAAATAGAAAATTACTTAAAAGACTTCATTCATCATCATCATCAAATATAATCAAAGAAAATGATCAATTATTAACTAAAACAAATTTAATTTCATCAAAATCACAACGTATACGAAAAAAACTTTTACAAGATGATGATTTATGTTCAAAGTATAAAAAACATTTTTTTTTAAATTTTTCGAATATATTAAATTGTTCATGGTTTTTTTGTTTGTTTTGTTTAGTCTTCAAACAAGTACTCCTTTATTAACACGTCAGTTATCAAATAAAAAATCCCTTACAATTGAACCATTAACTTTTCAAACAATTTATCCAATTGAAGAATTAAATAAAACACCATCATTACGATCAACTAATAAACGAAAACATTCAACAAATTCTTTGTCACCAATTTCTATTAGATCATCAATTGTAAGAAAACGTACGAAAACTGAATCTTCAATAAAAAAACAACATTCAAAAAACAATAGTAATAAACAAAATGAAAGTCTAACTGAAGATGATCAATCAGGTGATGAGAAAACTATACAATCAATTGTTGTAAGACGAAAACTTAATTTAGATTTGTCAAGTAAGTTGAATTAAAAATAAAAATCAATTTTGCAGTATTTAAATCTATTATGCATAAATATAATTTGAATATTAAAAATGTTATCAGAATACAAATCTTGATTTATTTTTGTCCAACTTATGTTCATTTCAAGTAGATGTTACTGTCATTATCTTTACTTTTGAAAGTTTCAGATCTTAATGAGCAGAGCAAATGTTATCATAGACATGAGATTTCCAGATGTTGCTATGTAGAAGAATATTGAGCTCGCAAGTGCGATAAATAGCTTCTCTGATCGTCCTTCCTTCCTCAGCTACAATTCGTGTGAAAGGTCTAATAGTTTTCCTTAGAGATACTAGACAATTGTTGGGTTGTATGTTTTTTCTTTAGTTGAAGCTATACAAGTAGAAGAAGGTTTCAGCTCGATCAGATGTACTATGACTAAGAAACAGGAGCGATTCTTCACTTTTTTCTCAAACAATTTTTTTTTCACAGACAATAACATAATATATAAATTTATCGAAAATCGTTCATTTTTTCGGCTTTTATAGTTATATATTAAGTCTAAAAATATGTCCAATAGATAGAGAATACAAGAAGGATTTCCTGAAATAAACAAGAATTTTTCTTGCTAGAAAAATAAAATGATTGAGAAACAAATTTATTTCTTATATCAATTGAAATAAGTGAAAATATCTGTAAGAAAATTTTCTCAAACAAGAGTTTCTTATTAAATTATTGTTTAGAATATAAAAATCCGCCTGCATTTATCAAAGATATACTTCCAGACAATATTCTTGAAAATGATATATATTTATTTCTTGAATCTCGTAAAGATTCTACAAAACTTATAACAGATGTAAGTCTTATCAACAATATGTTGTTTGTTTGTTTGTCTTTTAATTATAAAATTCATTATATTTTATTTGTTTGAAGTGTTCTGATAAATTTAATCAATCAAATGAATCTATGGAAGATGATGTAACAAAGACACGTTGGCCACCATATATTGTTTTTGGTCCAGATTTAATAAAAACTTGGTATTCATCATCATATCCTCAAGAATATGCACGTGTGCCATGTTTATATATATGTGAATTTTGTTTAAAATATATGAAATGTGAACAAGTTTATGATCGACATCGTGTAAGTTTATTTATTCTTATATTTAATGATTTAATTTTAATTTTTAATTTTTTTGGTTTATAATAATAGAAAAAATGTACTGCTTTTTATCCACCAGCAAATGAAATCTATCATAAAGATGATCTATCAGTTTTTGAAGTTGATGGAAATATAAATCGATTTTATTGTCAAAATTTATGTCTTCTTGCAAAATTATTTCTTGATCATAAAACACTTTATTATGATGTTGAACCATTTTTATTTTATGTTTTAACGAAAAATGATGCTAATGGTTGTCATTTTATTGGTTATTTTTCAAAAGAAAAACATTGCCCACAAAAATATAATTTATCATGTATAACAGTTTTACCAAATTGTCAACGTCGAGGTTATGGAAAATTTTTAATTGAATTAAGCTATTTACTTTCACAAAAAGAAGGACAAGTTGGTACACCTGAAAGACCATTATCAACACTTGGTGCACAAACATATGAATCATATTGGAAAATAAAAATTGTTGAACAATTACTTATTTGTTATAATGAAAATAAAAAAAAATGTTTATTAAAAATGATTATGAGTGAAACAGGAATGGCTATTGATGATATTATTGAAACATTACAAAATTTAGGTGTTTTAACAATGAAATCAAATGGAAAGTAGGTTTGAAAAAAGAGAGAGAAAAAAGAAGGGGTTTTATAAAACACGATCTCAGCTGAATGTTGAAGTATATGGGTCATAGTTTGGACCCTCATAGACACTTTAACAACACTCACGCTCCACGTCAATAGAGTCCACCGGGCTGGCTCTGATCGTCTAAGAAATGTATAGCGTGCGCTAGTCACTGAATACAAAAAATCGGGGAAAAAAGTATCTCGTATCTTCGGGACGAGTACTCAATTCCGATTGGTAAATTTAATGGAGAGTATCAAAGTATGGTCCCATCGAGTCCAAGAATTTTTGGACTCGGAACCGGATTCGATTGATCAAAACTTTGGATTTGAACCTGATTGATTACTCTTTTGTGTAAAGAGTCTATCGAGTCCAAAAATTTCTGGATCCGATCGACTCAACATTTTTAGACATGGACCCGATCGGGTTCGGATTCTAAAAACATTCAGTAAATCGGGTTCGAAAACTTTGGACCCGACAGGATCTAAGCATGACAAACATTGATATACGACCATAAACCTTATATCAATAACCTCTCATTATTTCTGAAGGATTAAGCGAACGAATGGAGAAGAAATGTGTCCCAAAAATAGATAGAATAAAACAATCTCGTTTTAATAATCAAGAGCAGTCATATCGTGTTTTATCCTGCAGAAATTTTTTTAATATCTTTTATTTAAAATAATATTTTATAGACCTGTAATTACTGCTGATGTAACACAATTGGAAACAATATTAAAAAATGATAAAATAAAACATGCACATTGGGTTTCAATTGATAGTGAATATCTACGTTTTACACCGGTACTTACACCACTTTTATTAATAAATGAAGAAAAAGCTGTTGAAAAAGAAGTTAAAGAAATTCAAATTGTATTTAAACAAATTGGTCGTGATGCTGCTGAGTAAATTTCGAAAGAATAAAAATAATTCAAAATTTCTAGATTTTGTTTACTGTTTTTTTTAGAGCGGCATTATTAGAAGCTGAATCAAATGATGGTTTGAATTCTACTGAAACTGTTCGTTATATACGAAGACGAAAAAATGGACATAAACGTCGTTCAATTATTGTCAAACGTCGAACACCAATTAATAATAAATCAAATAAAAATGAATCAATCATTACTAATGATGATAGTTGTACAATAGATACAATAATTAATGATATTGATGAACATTCTCAAGAATATAAACCTCGTCGACAATTTTCAATAATAAATGAAACTACGAAAGAACAAGAACAAGAACAAGAACAAGAACAAGAACAAGAACAAGAACGAGAACCAGAACAAGAACAAAAACAAGAACAAGAACAAGGACGAGAACAAGAACAAAAACAAGAAGAAGATAAATCTATTCCTCTAATACCTTCACCGAAACTTATTTTAAAACATCCAACATTGAAACAATTAAAACTTGACCAATTTCTTAAACTTATTCAACCAGAAGGAAATTTATCAACTAATGAAGAACCTAAAACAAACCATACATCTCATTCAAATTTGGAGAATAAAAATGAAAATAATGAAGAAATTCATTTACATTCAAGACGAATAACTCGAAATACTCGTTTAAATTCTACATCAAAACTTGACAATGATCTTGTTATTGTATCTAATGAAAATTCATCAGAAACTTTAAATAAACCTGATCGTAAGTATTTCATACAACTATTTTTACTCAAAAATATCGATAGACGTTATCAATCAAACCAAATAAAAAAAAAACAATTTCATATATCGGGACAAAACTTTTTTCTGGCCGAGACCGAGACCAAATTTCTTTGACCGGAATCGGGACCAAATCTGTGTTCTGATCGGGACCGGAACCGGATTTTTTTTTCCTAACAGAAACCTGGACCAAACTTTTCTTCTGACCGAAGTCGGAACCAAAACGGCTGGTCCCGTACATGTTTAATGTGTATGTAAATAGAATTTAGTGGAAAATCTTGAATTGAATGATATTTGCAGACTATTTGAATTGCCTATTAGGGTTTTTTATGAAAGTAATTTACTATTTTTGGTTTATGTTATTTGATAGGAAATACAAATCAATGAGATAATTCAAATAAGAACTTTGATATCATCGTTCATTTTCTCTTAAGCATACATTAGTGACGATAGCTAACGGCACATGATCAGTATGACATCCAGTGCCTTATTCAAGTTCTTTTTTTTTTCGGTTTGAGGGAGAGAACGAACACTGAGTGTACGGTGCAAAAAAGGCCAAGATTTCTGGAAGATAAAGATGATCTTCCTCTGTGCTAGATAAAACACAAATTGCTTGGTTATTCTATATGATGACTATAGTGACTCAAAAATTATTGAGTAAAATTTTTGATTATTTTAGTTAATCATCAAGATTCATTAACAATACAAATAAATGAAGGTGATCTTTCATTTGCAACATCAAATGATAGTTCAACAACGACAAGTACTCTTAATTCATCTTCAACATTCAATATGGATCGACCATTATCATTAAAGAAACGTGGTTTAACTTCATCAGATATTCAAGCTTTAATTGATAGTACAGTTTCACCATCTAAGGTTAATATTTATTTTTCTATTAGGAAAAAAGATTTTCAATAAAAAAGATTTTATTTAGAATAAAACAGATCAATCAATTTTAACTTGTGAAACAAACTTAACAACAAAAAAACAACCTGAAACTCTTTCATTATTATCAGATATTCTTGCTAGTCCACTTCTACAATCTCTAAATGGTACTGATGATGAAAGAAAAATTGAACATATTGAATCTCAATTAAAAACAAGTACAGCTTCTATAGTTAATAATAATCAAGAAAAAGAAAAAATCGAACAAGATTTATCAAGAAAAAATTTATTTGAAACAACAATTCAATCAATTGAACCCATAGATGATGAACAACCTCCTAGTTTAACATCTCCAACATCAATGATTATATCACAATCAAATCATTATAATTATTCAACACGACCTAAACAACAAATTAATAATTTTAATCCATCAACTAATATGACATATAATTTTAGTGATACATCATATCCATATACAACATATCCACAAGTACCATCCTATGATATGCAATCATATTATTATCCATCAACAATACCAATGGATTATACCCCTTATTATCCAACATCATCAACATCAGTTTATCCACCTTCAGGATCAATTTATGGAAATACATCTGAACAACAATCATATTATTCATCAAATAATGTTAATACAATATCATATAGTGGTAATGGAACAACACCGTATACTTATCCAACACCACAACCATCATCAACTGTACCAACAACTCAACGGCATTAAATTATAAACATATATATATATATATATATATAGTAACTAATTTAGTCAGATAGAATGATTAATATGTGTAAATATATTTTCTTGTTCGTTTTTTTTTTCATCTCAAGAAATTGTTTATTTAATTGTCTTATTATCTTTTGTTTTTCTCCTCTAATATATATATGAGAAGAAAACAATAAATAAGAGAAAAATATGAACATAGTGCTTTTTTTTTGTACTGTTTTTTTTACATCATGCTTAAATTGTTGTTCGTTTTTTTTTTTCTAAATTTCATTTTTTTTTCTTTATCATGTTATAACGAATAATTGATGATGTTGGTCGTAGCTTTCTTCTTTTTTTTTTGTCTAGCCCTTCCTTTTTTTTTCTTGAGTGTTTATGTATATAATTTTGTGTGTTTGTCATGTGAAAACAGTGTTTTGTTGTTTATTGTCTTCTGATGATACTGAAAAGGAATTATTGATGATGATACGACAGAATAATAGAATTTGGCATTAATATTCAAAGTTCTTCTTTTTAAATATCATGTTGAATTGTATCGATTCAAATATAATAAAATGATTTTATCATATTATTGTATAAAATGTGATAGAGAAATAAATTCGAAATATGCATTCATATTGACAAACATTAATAAAAGTATTGAGAAAGAGAATACAACTAAAATTAAATAAATGTAAATTTGTCATTTAAGAGAATTTTGATATTTCGGAATCTATTTTATCAGATATTATTGTAAGACGGATTGAAAATGTGTTAGATTAAAATCTATAGATCTTCCTAATTAAACAGGGAGGTAACGGTGTGATTGCAAATAACATCAACAACAAATTTTATACGAAATGAAAGTACGTCGAGGATGAGATTCATCAATAATGAATAGCAAGCATTAGAATAATTTTTTAGTGTTGAATTTAGGAAATCCTAAAAATTTTACGCCATATCAGCAGAGAAAAATTCGCTCCATGAGGCTGTTCAAATTAGATCTCATTTAAAATGATCAATATCAAAAAGTAATGGATACTTGATCTGGAGATATGTTGAAACAATAATAAAAAACGAAATTGAAAACAATGACTATCAGACATGGAACACAATTGTTTTGATGAAGAAACTCTAAAAAAAAACATGAAATATGTTTTGACAAATATGGAAATAAACATTGACCTATTTGAAATTATTATGTGTTCGTATCCGTTTCATCTTCCTGCTGTAAAAATGGTAATGGTTGTCACACTGATTATTGAGTATATTCACCAAGTCTGAAAAAATAAATATTACTTTTTGATATTCATCATTTTAAATGAGATCTAGTTTAAACTGCGTCATGAAAGGAATTTTTCTCTGCTGATATCGCATAAAGTTTTAAAGAGTTACTAAATTCGACACTGCAAAGCTATCCTAATACTTACTATTTAGTATTGGTGAATCTCATTTTTCGACACGCTCTTATTTGGTATAAAATTTGTTGTTGATGTTATTTGAAATCACAATGGTGCCCCCCCCCCCCCTGGAAAAATATTTTAACACACTCTATATATCAATAGTTCTTTCAGATCGATGCTAGATTTTATCTAAGTTATTCAATAAAGGATCAACTTTCTTACAGAAAACAAATTCTACAAATGTCATGCATCTAAACATAGTAATTATCAAAAACGTATACCAACAACCAAACATAAGAGGCTCATGTAAAATGTTGTAAAATACTAGATTCAGCTTTTTGTTTTTGAAAATTTTCGTTTCTAGTTATTTCACAATTATGTTCATAAGTTATATTTATGTATTATAGAAATCAGTCGAGAATATATATTGAACTACTCAATAAAGTTTTATTTAACGTCATTTCATTTATTAATTATGAATCTGTTCTCAATTCTAAAATATAAACTAGGATAACTTAGATAAAATCTAATATTGATCTAAAAGAACTATCGATGTACCAGTAAAATAATGATCTGTTCGAAAGTAATCATCAAATATCCTATATTATAACTATTGAAATTTTAGTTAAACCTATATCATTTTCTATGATAAATTTTCATCCTTCTCCAATGGTTTTATTTAAATGTATTTTAAATTCAAATTGTCAAGTTTTCTCATAAAATATAGAGAAAAAATATATTAGTTTAATTTTTTCGTGAGAAAATTTTCAATTATTCTAAACTCTAATATTTTCTATAGTATATTTTTTATTTTTGCGGTTCTACCTTCAATTTATTTTATTATATGATCCGTACATAATATTTCAGTTTTTTTTTTAAGTAGTTAATCTTTTTCTTCTACAATTTATTTATTATGAAATTAGCTAATAGATAATCAAACATAGCCAACTAAGACTACCAAAAGAAAAAGAATTAAAATGTCTTGCATCCATTGACAGCTAATCGAATAGAGTAAAGTGAGGTAGTAGCACAAATGTAAAGTATATTTCGTTTCGCACCACCACCAAAGCATACATTAGCAACAATTTCTGGTACATTAATTCTACCCAATAAGGTACCTGTATTTCCATCGTAACATGACACTCCATTACCAGCACTTGTCCAAATATGTCCAGTTGAATCGACACGAAATCCATCATAGAGTCCAGTTAAACATTTAACAAAGACTTCTCCACCAGTTAATGAAACACCATCTTCACCTACATTAAAAACACGAATATGTGCTGGTCCATCTCGTGGTCGATGAGTTCGTCCAGTATCAGCAATGTATAGACGTTGTTCATCAGGAGAGAAAGCTAGGCCATTTGGTTGTACAAAATCTCGTGCTACGACATGTAATTTCCCATCCTTCAGACAATAAACAAAATTTCCTCCAACTTCACTCTCTCCTTGATCTCCTTCATAATCTGAATCAATACCATATGTAGGATCAGTAAACCAGATTGACCCATCTGATTTAACAACAACATCATTCGGACTATTAAAACGTTTATTATTTTCGGCACGATCGATCAATACAGTTATTGTACCATCATGTTCTGTTCTTGTTACACGTCTTGTCTGTTGCTCACATGTTATTAAACGACCTTGACGATCAATTGTGTTACCATTTGAATGATAAGAAGGAGCACGAAAAATACTTGTTTGTCCATTACATTCATCATAGCGTAGTAAGTGATTTTCTGGCACATCCGAAAAGACAAGCGTACGTAAAGCAGGAAAATATGCAGGACCTTCTGCCCATGTCATACCAGTGTATAGACGATGAAGAGAACCTGCAGTGGACACCAACTTACTAAAGGAATCATCATATATATCAAACACTCCTTTAGTCTCCGTTGACATTTTGTAATATATTTTCTTATCTTTAATCGACCAATATACTCGTCACCAGCGTGTATACAGAAAGTAGGCAAAATAGAGAGAGAAGGAGGCAGAAGGTACGAGAAAACAGAAGTAGAACACCGACTTTTATGATAGGATGGCAAGAAGAATCATAACAATTGATTATAAAGTAAAGAGAAAAGAACGAAAAAAAAGAGTTTGTTTTTGAGAATAGTCTTATCAAAAAAAGATATAGATGCCGCAACAAACAAAGTGGTATACGAATAAGAAATACAACCTAGTTTTTTTTGCTGTTTAACTAATAGATCCTTTTGATATGATCACTAAAGGATTTACGATTAAATACTCATATAAACTTGAGTCGATTGGAAAGATTCCAATGAATTTCTTAAAATTGATGAAATTATGTGAAAATTTGGATATTGTAATACTAATTGTATATTATTATGTATTTTAAAGTCTATTTTATTGCTTTTTCGATATTTCATTTTTGTTCTTGATGTTTTCTGTAGGGTTTATTTCAATTTTTTCAATTCTTATTCAATTAATTCATAGACATAAGAATAGAATAGGAAATAAAATGAAAAATTACTCATAAAAGATATATTCATATTAATGTTTTAAATTTGAATCTCTTTATTGAAGATATTACCACTAAAAATATTAGTTTGGTATGGTTATTCATTCGAATATTTCGAGCAAAAATGAGACGATCCCATGTAAAATGATATCAGTATCTCGATATAGATAAGAAAACAAGAAAATGTAACATAAAAGCTTTATCTATAACAATAGGTAAATTTATTCATTTTGCATATGAATATTGTTGATATAAAGAGACAGTCGGTTTTTTTTAGAACAAACACAAGTATAGTTGTTTATCATGTTAACTAATCGATAAATAACTTTGAAAAATTTTAAACTTTTCTTTATTTTTGTAAATTTCAATAAAATACATTGATAGTAATATTTATTTATCTTTCAATAAATCATAAAATTATTTTTCTCTTTAGTTTATTGATTCAAATGTCTTTCAATTCATTTCCAATAAATCCGAATGAAACAATTTCTACGGATACTTTTCCAAAAATCGTTGTTAATAATACTAATAATGGTTTTAAACAACCACCGCCATTACATGCACGTTTATTATGTGAATTAATTGGTACTTGTCTTTTCATATTTTTTGGTGCTGGATGTGCAGCAAAACCGCATGATCTTTTAACGGTATCTGCTGCACATGCACTTGTTACTGTATGGCTTGTCTATGTATTTGGACCTGTATCTGGTGGTCATTTTAATGCAGGAGCTACAATAGCCTTTGCTGTCAATGGAAAAATGAAAATTATAGAAATTATTGGTTATCTAGTAGCTCAAGGAATAGGTTCTATACTTGCTGGTGCATTACTTCTTTGTCTTTATGGTACTGGTACTTCATTAGGTACACCAGGACTTCAACCAGGTGTAACAGTTATGCGAGGATTTGCTATAGAATTTATCTGTACAGTAATTCTTTCATTTGTTATCTTCTTTACTACATCGTATAATACATATAAAGAGGCAGCTTTTCCAATTGGACTTGTTGTCTTTTCATCGTTTTTGCTTGGTGCTGATCGAGATGGTGCTGCATTAAATCCATGGCGATGGTTCGGTCCAGCTGTAGTTTCGAACACGTTTCAATCAACAGCATGGATCTATGTAATTGGTCCTATTGGTGGATTTCTTTTTGGTTATATACTCTTTCGTCTTTACAAGTTATTGTGGAACGGAAGAGCTAGTTTTCAAATCTAGTTCTATTTTTGAGATTATCTTTTTTTTTTCGAATGAATTTAGTTGATAATGATTTTTCTAATGTATAAGTTTTTTTTTTGCTTTTATAAACAAATAGAAAACAATATTTTTGAATAAATAATTTTTTGAAGTTTTGTAGTAATTTGATTTTCGTAAGTACGAGGCAAATATAGAGAACATAATAAATTTCTATGTCTATTAAACATATGTTGTTTGTTGCCGTCGAGAAATTGAATGTTTATGTTAAATTTGCTGATCGATCTATAGTTGATTTGTTTATTTTTGATACAACAACGAATAATCATTTGTCGATTTTGATAACGATATGTACATGAAGTACCTATATAAATACAAATTAAAAGGGAATATACCATAAAACTAATAAATGATTCAATTTATATACGAACTGATGATTTAATTATATTTTTTTGTCATAGTCAACAATAATCTTTTTTATAATTTTGAGACATACGAATAATATTTGGTTGAACTCGAGAATGAATATGATGTAAACTACGTATTGTTAAAAAAACCATATGTAATCATTTATGTTCGAGGAAGAAAACCAGTAACAATATATGAATAAATCCTATGCCTTAGATAAGACTATATTTTTCATAAGCATTACAACATTCTGATTTAATTATTACAAACAAAAGAATGTGTGAAGCAATAATTGACCAAACTAAATTTGTTAAAATAGTAACATAAATAGCTAGCTTAGGTTGACAAAATGAATAAATAATTTTTTGATAACGAACATATTGCAAACCAATCTATACAAGCAAGAATAATCATTGATCAACTAATCATTAGTATTGATTAATATGATTAAATGAATAAAGTATTGATATATAATTCCAAAATTTATTATAAATATATTCATAATTGATGCAAAAAAAAGTAAATCAAGAGAAGACGAATTATTTCTATGAGTTTGTTGATAAAATATAATTATTTTATATAAATTACTCAAACATTACATTATGATATTGTCTTTGCAACTCTTTGCTCTTCAGAAATGTAATAAATATATAAATAAATTAGATACAAAAATATTTTGAATATATAACAAATGCTTTGCAAGATTAAAAACATAACATGTCTACTTATTCCTTTTATAGCTATTGTTTTATATTGTTACTTTTCAGGTATCATACAAAATGCTTTGAACATTATTTGATGAAAAGATGAACAAAAGGAAGAAAGACGAAAAAACAAATAATCTTTTTAAGCTTTATATACGATTAATAAAGAAGAACATTCAAGTTCATATTCTAAATTCAAATATGATGAAAGACAAAATTATGAAGAAGAAAAATTTCATTGTCTTATAAAAAAATATATTTTATTGTGTGTCCGTGTTAAATATTTTTGATATTAATATGTCTGAAAAGCCTTTACTTGACGTGCTCATAATGTAACTGCTTAAAAAATATTCAAGAAAATAAAAATTGTACTGATTCACATATATCATTTAATAAGAAAAATCTCTAATAGCTATTTCAAGCTTGTTTCTTTGACAAATATCATTGAGAACCACTAATAACACATTCTCCTTTAAATAAAATAATTATTTC